TTCCTGCTGTTCTCTGGCAAAGCAAATGAGTCTGAGCTCCCCAACTCGTTGGCACTACCCATGTGGCAGTGGGCAAATTCTTTTATTTAAAGGAGAAGATTAAAATAAGGATAAGTTGTCACTGAGGAGCTGGCTGAACGTAACTTTGGGACAGAAAACGAAGGAAGGTGAGGGAATGTAGAGCAATAGAACAGAAACATTTCATAACTCCAGATCTTTTCCTTTCCAACAAAGCAAACAATTTCCTTGCTGATGAAGACAAAGAGCCCTGTTCATCTCCCTGTGCTTCCTCCATGGCTGAGGATTCAGAGGAGGATTCCATCCCACCCAATGAGTGCAAAAAGGTAAAAGATGTGAGTGCCCTGAGAAGGGGAACTAATAACCATGTGTCTTGAGCCTGAGGAAAGCACAACACCAAAGCACTGTGACACGTCCTCCAGAAATGTTATTTCTTTCATTTTCTTTTGCTCAGTGCCTTGTTTTGTGGAAGGCAGTGGCAGATATGGGTTACAAGAGGTTTTTCAATACAATCTTGAAATCTGTATCTGAACTTGTCTTCTGCTTCAGGTATGGAAAATGCTGTTATGCCTTGGGAAATTAAAACTGCAGCCTCTAGCACTGTAAAGGTGAAATGCTGGGCAATATTCCCAGCAATATTCCTGCTTTTGAAGGTTGCAGGAGAGCTGCTGCATTTCCTTATCTCCAGCCTTAGCTTCCCATATATCTCTTAACATTAAAACTATGTAAAAATGCCTGAGGTTCACAAAGTATCATCTGATTGGTAGTAAATCTTTTTAGTTGCCTGATAAAGTAGCCAGGGCTCCCTAGAAGCAGCAGTGTTGGTGGGGACCAGCGGTGCATGAATCAGCCTTCTGGTGTCACAGTTCCTAAATCCTGGATCACCTCGGTACCTCATGGAGCCTTTTACGTTTAAATTTACCCACTTCTCTGTGGTGATATTTCAGGAGATCATGGTTGGACCTCAGTACCAGGCCACTGTTCCTGCCTTCCACCTGAATAGGCATGGTGAAAAAGGTGAGGTAACAGTCTGTGTGGGTGGGTGTGGGGTTGCTGACCTGGGCATCTGATGGGGCCCTGGTCATCACTTCTGCTCTGTGTCACCTTGCAGTGTTGACATGTGTACAGAGGGTGCTGATATTTTAATCCAAATAGAAAAATTTCAATATTTCTGATTATTTTTTATTTCAGTCTTTATTCTTGCATTCCTCTGTGCTGTTATTTATGTAAACCTCTCTCTGCATTGTTGTGTTGTGTTCTTGTGGACTAAGAGCCTTCAGAGCTGGAAGGAGCGAGAATCACTCAGTGATGCCATGTGCTCCTGCTGCTCTGCATGGGTGGAGCAGCTCCTGGAGGAGCCTTGCACACTGTCACAGTGGAGGGACAGCCTTGCAGCTGCTTGATTTTGTGTCTTGGACAAGGAGAGGGTCTTGAGCCCAGGCCAGGGTAATAGCTCAAAGCTGCCTTTGCCTCCCAATCCTTGTGTTTATGGTGTGCTGAAAAAGACACCTTAGAACTTTGTTTTTATAGTTGCCAGGATTAATTAATCAAAGCAACAATCTTTGAGAACATAGTAACAAACCTTGTTGGCCAACTCTTCTGAGGAAGTGGAAGCAAGCTTAGCCTGTGCTTAGGGCTCTGGAAGGGATATAAAGAGTATTAAGCTCATCTGCCTCCAAGATGGTTACAGAAGATGCAGCACCTCCTTTCTAGTGCCAGGCTGGAGTCACCAAGCAAAGAGGGACCTTTGGTCCCTCCCATACACATACACGCAGACTGTTTCTCAGAAGCAGGAGACTCTGCTTGATTAGCTTATTTCAGTGCTTTTTCTGCTAGCCTACGAGAATGAAGATCAGCTGCTTTGGGACCCAAATGTGCTCCCCGAGCGGGAGGTGGAGGAGTTCCTGTACCGCGCGGGGAAGCGGCGCTGGGACGAGCTGTTGAGCAGCAGCCTGCCCGAGGGAGAGGTGGTGAAGGACAATGAGCAGGTGGGCACGGGGCTGCTGTCAGCTTGTAGACACCCTCATAGTTCCTACAGAGATCCTGACTGAGACACACACTTAAAACATACTCTCCCAGTATCCCAAACTCCCTGAGCCAGAGCTTGCAGCAGGAGCATCCTTTTGGATCTGTCCTCTATAGCATTGTCTATTTCTTCTTCAAAGCCAGCAGAAGATCAAACAATTGGTTAAGAAACTTCAGAGCAGTTGTTTCCTCTAAGCTGGCCAGGTTAGATCCTCACAGTAAGTCTGCAAGAACACAGAAGCACTCCTGTAGTCTGCAGAGCTTCATTCCCAGGGTTTGTCACCCAGGGTCCTGAGAAGCACAGTGATCTTTGCTGAAGCTCAGCAGGGGTTGGTGGCAAAGTGGCCCCTGGGAAAAAAAAAAAAAAAAGAAAAAAAAGAGTTTTACAAAACACAGGGAGCGATAAGCAGGCTGGTTTGTGGTGTGTTGCTCTCAGGTACATGCTGTCAGTAACTTCCCCTCTTTCCCAGGCATTGTATGAACTAGTTAAATGCAACTTCAATGCGGAAGAGGCGCTGAGGCGGCTGCGGTTCAATGTGAAGGTCATCAGAGGTGAGCACCCCCCCTCTTAGGGCTCGTGACATTCCTGTGTTCTGCACATCTCCAATTCCTCTTTCTTTCTGCTCTAGATGAGCTTTGTGCCTGGAGTGAGGAAGAATGTAGAAATTTTGAGCATGGCTTCAGGGTCCATGGGAAAAACTTCCATCTAATCCAAGCAAACAAGGTAAGGAGGCTCACCCGCATCCCGCTAAGGCAAAGGGACGGCGGCGCGTTCCCAGCAGAGGTATGTCCAGAGCCTCAGCTAACGCAGGAAGTCCAGGACTGCTGAGTTCCCATCCCAGGCTTTGTGTTGACTCATACTCGCAGTGATGGGCTGTTCACTGCCCTGCTCTGCCTTATTTTCCAGGTGGGAGAAGTCACAAACAACACTGACCTGCATGAGTGATGTCAGTTAATTACTGATTAGCCCTTTCTGGAGTCTCAAAAGTTCTTTCCAAACTCTCAGCCCTTGCAGTACTTCTGTGAATGAGTGAGTTGAGCATGTGGATGTTTTGTAAAGTCCCCTGGGGTCCTCTAGAACATAAGATGCTGTTGTAGGGAGAGCTGTGCCCCAGGACATATGCTGCTGTGCTGGGAGTTGGCAGAACCAGAGAGTCCAGTTCTACTGCTGATTAATTGTGGGCATGTTGACGCTGGCCAGTGAAAATGGATGCAGGTTTGGTCTCTTGATGTGAAGTGTGATGCTGGAAGTGCAGGAAAGTCCTGCACAAATGTACTATGTGTGCACCCACACTGGGGTCTGCAGAAACAGCCATGCCCTATGGGGAGTTCTTCCTCTGGGCCATTGCCACCTTGGAAATCTCAGTATGTGCTTCTGTTCTGCAGCGTAGATTTGTCCATAGCAATATAAATCGCTGTTAGGCACCTAATTTTCTGTGCTGATTAAATGGGAGAATAGTCCTTGCTCCATGAGAGGCACCTTGGAGCCTGGCTTTCTGACTGGTGTTTCTCCTCAGGTCCGCACCCGCTCAGTGGGTGAGTGTGTGGAGTATTACTACATGTGGAAAAAATCAGAGCGCTACGACTACTTCACTCAGCAGACTCGTCTAGGAAGGAAGAAGTACGTCCTCCACCCTGGAGCCATGTGCGTGGAATATTCTCACACTAAAATTAGTAATATTAACCCCCCAATGAAGATTCCTGCTTACTTCACTCAGCAGACTCGTCTAGGAAGGAAGAAGTACGTCCTCCACCCTGGAGCCATGTGCGTGGAATATTCTCACACTAAAATTAGTAATATTAACCCCTCAATGAAGACTCCTGCTGCAAAGCACCTCCGCTTAAAAGGCTGCACTTTCTGCTCTAGAAGGTTTCTTGGGTGGGAGCAGGGAGGGATGGAAATACTCAGAACAGAAACACTGTCTGTGTGGGTGTCACCGTTTGACTCGGGTTCAATAACAATGCTCTTGATCCTCTCAAACCAGGACAGTGGGGAGGGAAGATAAAGCAATTACTTGCTTGGATGTGGACTTCTGTGTGGCAGAGAAAATTGTTTTGTTTCAGACAAATGCATTCACAAAAATCGAATCTAGAGTCAGGGATCCAGGTCTGGTCTCAGGAAATAACTCAGTACAGTGAGCTTTTGGGAAGGGGGGGTTAAGTTAAAAAATACACTATTTCTGGTGGTTTGGAACCTGAATGCCTGCCACCACCCTTTGAGGCAAATTCTTAATTTTGAAATTTATGCTAATTATGGAAAATACTTTTCAGAACGGTTGAAACTGAAATTATTTTAAAGGTCAAAATGAAATACTTAAGTTGAATCAATTCAGAGCATTAGATGAAATCTTAGGTGTTTTGGCTTTTTGGGTTTTTTTCATTCTGATGCAAGACAGGAAAATACCTGAAATCTCAGGTCCCCCCCAGGGTGGGAAGATACTTTCTCACCCCATGCTGTTTGCTGGCACACTGACATGGTCACAGCGCACCGTAGTCATTCTGGGAAGCTGGCTGGTCCCTGGGGAGAGCCTGTGACTCTTTCCTAGGGGATGAGGCTCACAGGGAGCTGGGGAGACCTGCTGTGTGGGAACCCTTCCGAGCCCACCCTGGGTTGTCCTGGGTTGTCAGGGAGGAATGGAGGTTCCTTCTAGTGAGGTCTGTTCTGTACTGTCCCTTCATCTGTTGATGGGTTTTAATCCCAGTCACCATTTTCCCTGCCTGCATCTCTCTGCCTAACAGGTGGTGGCAGTGCTGTCTGTCTTTCTCCACAGAGATTACACGGACAATGACTTGGATGGAGGTGAAGTAGAAAACACCAGTCGCTCTCGGAGCTCCCCACCAGTTCCCTCTGCAGCCAGCTGCCTGGATCCCCACTTTGCTCAGGATCAGCTGGGCATGGAGAGCACAGGTGACTTCCTCATCTTCTGTCTGCCATGGGGATAACTCCTCTCCCTCACTCCACAGCACAGACCCTCTTCTCCCTTCCTTCTCTTGCCATCATCCAGCTGTTGCTCTTCTCCCCATGCCTTTGTGTGGGTACCTCCCAGGGGCCATTGGCATGAGGGAATAGGACTTAGGATTTGGTTTATCTTGGAGTGTCTCTCTAAGATTTCTTTAATTTCAATAGAAACACTGATGGCCTCCCATCTGCTGTCTGCATCTTGCCTTTCTTTGGTACATGCTGGCAGGGATCTTGGTTGTTATAATAAAGAAACATTTGTGCCATCAAACAAATACTGTTGTGATTAGGTGGGACTGAACTGGATCCTGGTTTGTTGTGTGTTATGGACTAATTCTGTTCCCCTCCCTTTGCAGAGCCCCTGAGCGTGGAGAGCACAGCCTGCAGCCTGGGCAGCATGAGTGAGTCAGGGCAGGGCTATGAGTGCAGCACACCTTCAGAGACCAATTGTTCCTTTGACCCCACAGAGGAAACCTCCTCGGGCACCATCTCAGCTTCCTGCACACGACACCCCGTCCCCCCCGCGGGCACAGGGCTCTACGCTCTGCCACCCCCAGGACCAGGACTAGCAGAGAAGCAGGAGACGTTGCAGAGCTCTGGTGAGACGATAACCATGGACTTCACTCTCCCTGCAGACATTAACGAGGGTTTGCCTTTAATTGCTGACCCTGTGGATTTGGACAGAGATCCAGAGGCAGTGGTGGCCCCTGCGCAAGTGTCCTTATCGGTCACAGATTTTGGCCTCATTGGCATTGGAGATGTAAATAGCTTCCTGACTGCTCACCAGGCCTGCCCAGCACCTGTGGCTCGCTCGGAGCCTTTGTCACAGTGAGCATCTCCAGTCACAAACTTGTCAGAGACCCAGCAAGGACTTTGACCTGACTGAGTGAAATCCTGGAACTTCCACTGTTCCGTAGGGACAGATTGGAGCTGTTGGTCAGAATCCATCTTTCCATCCTCCTTGATCCAAGGCTGCAGTGAAACCAAACACCTTCTGCTCCCATGTGTTCTGGCACAATCACACTGAGCTGTGGCTCGCTCGGGGGGCGGGGGGGTGTGGATCCAGCACCCCTGGTTTTGTTGCCCATATGTCACCCCAGGTAATTCCAGACTGTTCAAAGAATTGCTGCCCTTGAGACAGGGGAGTGTCCCTTGGTCCCAGGGGGACAGTCTGAATGCAGAGATGCTTTGAGAGCAGGGATGGCGTCACCAGCACTTCGGGGCTGGGACAGAGGATGCAGTCTGGAGGTCAGAGCGCTCAGGAAATCCGCAGGGAGCACAGAACCCCCAGGTTGCAGGGCCGTTGCCTGTAGACAGGCCTAACAATGCCAAAGGAATATGAGGATTCTTGGCCCTTCACCCACAGGCAGCTTCTTGTAACAGGAGTCGTTCTCCCTGTCCCCTCCCTACAGCCATCCTGCCCCAGTTGTGCCTGGTGCCGGCGTGTGCTGCTCCCTGCATCTCCCATGGCTCCGCTTGTCCTTGCTCCGCCACCAGCTGCAGGTGGGACGTGGCCTGGTCCATCTGTCCCCTCATGTCTGGGAAGGAGACTCTGCACCCCAGTCCTCACTTTCTCTTGCAGTGCAGGGCAGGGGAGAACTTGTGCTGGGAGCACAGAGCGAGGCTGGCGCAGGTGCTGCTGGTGGCAGTGAGTGACTCCATCCTCACTGGCTGCTGCAGAACAGGAGGGAAAATGCAGATGAAAACACCTCAGCTTGTGCAGGTGGTTTGTCAGCTGGAGGATGAGGAGGTTGCTCTGCTCCCAGGGCACCAAGTCTGGTCACCAAGTCAGCAGTGCTAGTGCAATCCCAGGCAGGAGAGCACAGCCCATGTCTGAGTCCCATGCCTCCCTGCCCCTTTCTGCCTCACAAAAAGGCTGTTTTCTGACAGGAAAGTGTGTCTCTACTGCCATTAGCAACGTTTCAGGGCAGTGACAAGGGTGGCCCCATGTGGCATTGAGGTGGCCAGCAGAGAGCCACAGCAGCAGGTGTGTGAGTGTGCAGGAGGCTGGAGCTGCTTCACTTCCTAGGTGTGTTAGAGGCCTGGGCTTTGCCACTGGCTTAAATCCATGTGTTCTCCTTCCCTTTTTTCCATGAAGGTATTTCTGCCTGCTGGGCAGAGCTCTGATGCAGATGTTCCTCCCTCCAGACATTTCTGCTTTTGGAAGGGGTCTGAGTTGAGTTTTTTTGCTTGTTTTGGGAGAGGCCTTTGGGCTGATCCCACAGTTGGTTTTGCTGCCAGTGGATCTGAAAGATGACTCAGCCCATTAGCCCGGATCTTCCTTTTCCCCAGCCTGTGAAGTTGTGCTCAGCACTGCAGTAGGAGCACGGAGCCAGCAGCTTCCCAGGATGGCAGGACCAGCCCGTGTTTCCTGCCCCAAGCCCATTTTGGGTGCATTGGTGGGATTTGCCTTGGCCCCACGGGGGAACTGAGCCCCCAGTGCACGCAGCAGCCCTAACTGGGTGTCCCACTCAACCATGACACTGTAGCCAAGGTCTCCCCTCTGGCTGCTCCCAGGTGCTGGAAACAGAAAGCAAATACAAGTGCCCCCTCCATAGTGGAACTGCCCAGGCTGCCATTCCCCTTTTCTAAGGGAGGGAGGAAGCTCCTTGGCTGAAAGGAGAGGAGGAGGCAGGGTGAGAGCTCAAGCAGCCTGCCCAGGGAGAACCAGGCCTTGGCATCTCCTTGCCACCAGCCAAGAACATCCTTAGTTTTCCTGAAACCATTTTTTCTTTGGTTTGTTTCAAGCCCTAATGGAAGGAGAGGGGAGGCTGTGGGAGGTAAAAATGTCTCTTATTTATGTTATTCAGTGTTGTTTACAGACGCGCATGGGGTCTTTCAACATGAGTGCAGCGCTTTTTCCACATAACTTTAAGGGAGAGGGGTGGAAAGGGCTGGGACAGGGAGGGGATCACTCGGGGAGGAGGTTTGGGTTTGTTTTTTTGTTGGGTTTTCTTTTTCCTTCTTACAAAGCACATTCACTTTGAGCCACTCCCAATGCTGGACTCTTTCCCCCCTTCCCCTCCCAAGCCCTACACTGTGAAGTGATACTGCCTTGAAGACCCCTCAACGTTATTTATTTAATTAAAAAGCTAATTTGAAAGTGAGCTGGAAGCCTGTTCTGATTTTGGAGACAGAGATGCCACATTCCTGTGTATCATGAAGGTGGGCACATGAAGAGGGGTCCTTGCCTTGCCTGTCTGACCCTCCCACCCCAGGTGTGTGCACCATTGCTCTCTGGGTAGGGTGGGATGCCCAGCACAGATCTTGGGAACCTGTTTGCTGCAGATGTTTGTGGTCCCCAAGAGCAAGGATGTCCAGGATGGTGTGTGGCTGATCCTTGGGTCCGTCCTTAGGGAAGTGGGGGTCCAGGGAATGACCCTGGCGTGGCAAGGAGCATCTTCATCTAGCGATCAGTGAAAAGCTTGTGCCACCAGAGCAGGACCATGGTGCAAATGGTGCTATGGCCAGAGTGTGTGGGAGCTACTCTGGTTGCTGGTGGCTTCTGTCCCAGGGGGTCTGGGGATGGTTCTCAGGGTTCCTCTCCATTCCTGGCCCTGCTTGCCTTCCCATGCCTCGTACCAGGGATGCCACTGGAAGCTGGGAGGAGGCCCAGCTTCCTCAGCTGAACCCAGCCACCCTGACACTGTGTGTGGAGGGGGGCAGGTGGTGGTTGCTCCTGCAGGTGTCCCTGGTCTTCTCAAGCCCTGGCAGCCTCTGGAGAGCCCGTGGCAGCAGGAGGTGGGGGGTCCATCCACGTCTCCCTGGCTTCAGCCAGAAATAACATCCTGGAGGCTAGAGAAACGTTCCTGCTGCAATTGCGTTGTATGTTTCTGCAAGAAGGCTCGTTCTTCTCCACAAAGCACCTCTGTTCTGTCAGAAACCCCTTACATTCTGTTCCCCAGCTCTTTCCTGGCTCTTGCCTTCTGTCCGGGGGCTTTGGGGTGGGATGAGGGATCCCCTTTTCCTCTCTTGCAGCTGGAAAATGTCACTCGGAAACCCATCGGGAACGGGGCAGCTCACCCCGCTCCCCGGGCGCTCCCCCGCTCCGCAGCCCTCCCGGCCGCGCAGCCGGGCTCGGGGAGTCCCCG